GCTGGATCTGTGAAACTTGGACTCAATTTCCGTCCCAGCAGAGATGGTTTTGGTCGTTGAGATGCGTCCTTGCATAGGCCCAAGAGGGCTTGCGCTGTGATTTCGCCGAAGGTCTCTTGTTCGTAAACGTGTTTGTGTCGGGCCTCATGTTGAAGCCGACGCCAGCAAAGTTCCCACAGTGTGGAGCCCTTCCTCAAGCGAGTAGGAAGGCTCATCACAGAGGCTGTTATGTGAGACACTAGAGGCTCGCACAGAACGTACGTAGAGAAGATGTCGCCTGCCTTGCTGATGTTGTGGAGCATCCGAAGATGCTCGTCGACCTGTCTCTTCTGTTCGGCGGGGTTCATGACAGACAAAGTTCCACACGACTCTTCGTCTCCCGCTCCATCATCTAAGGCGATGCGCCGGCCCAGAAGCGCAAAAAGGCGCGAAGTATCGAGAGAGATTGTGGAAAAGTCGAGCGTAGCAATCGGGAGCCTTAAAAGCTTTTGGAGCACAAAAGTAAGGCTCTCACCGCCACAGCACGCCAGCTCTGCCGGACCAAGGATTGGATCTACCTTGTCATAAACGATGCGCGAGCGCCAAAGTGGCCTTCCCCAAAGCGCAAGCACATGAACTCTGCTTGCCTGTAACGGCGAGGCATGTAGGATGGTGGCAGCTCGAGCTGCATCAGCCTTCAGCCATACGTTTTGAACGGGGTGTGTATAAGGCGGCAAATGCCTTCGCTTTCCCGATTCAACACGAGACGAGCAGGTAACAGGTAGGGCTGGACGCGGTGTTGCGAAGCTCGCGTTGGTCCCTAGCATGATGATCCAGAAGCGAGGAGGTAGCAGAGTGGTTTCATCGTCGGGGCAGAAGAGCGAACGCAAGTCTTCCACCCAGGCAAGCTTTTCGGCCTTCGTCTCCGCTTTGAGATGCCATGGACGAATGTTTGCTAGTTCATCCAAGCAGACGTGAAACCATACCTGTGCCTGCTCGGCCCTGACTCGCGCTGCCAACGTCGTCTCCAACGCCAAAGCGTCCGCTCGCAGCAGCGTCCTGTACTTGCGCACAAAGAAGGCCTCGTGCTTGTACGAATTAGCGTTGAGATCTCGGATCACCTCCAACCAGAGTTTGTTGGCAGTTTCTTGGACCTCGTCATAGAGTGGAACATCAAGATGACCTTCGTGGCTCCAAGCGTCACCAGCGCCCTTCTTGGGGCTAGAAGTTTGTTGCCAGTACTGCGCAAGCGTATGGTAGCTATCACCATGATAATCATGGATAGAAGCAAAGCTCGCTTGGTATATCGCTCGAAGAAGTGTGATCCATCGCACTTCGTAGCAAGCTCCCGATCTGGGCGCAGAGCGTGGCAAGCCCTTGCGCACGTCCTCTGAGAGCCAGGCGAGAAATCTCCAGTCTCCTAGTGGAAATCCACTCTCGTTCTTGGGTCGAAAACACAGATAGAAGGTGAGATGTAGAGTGGCTGTGCGCTGATCTGGAGGGATGTAGCCATTCAATTGCTGAATCAAGCGAGACTTGCCCGTGCCACTGCTTTGCACAACTGCCAGAGAGCGCGAATGGTAGGGTGTTGGCAGAATTTGATCGGGCCCGAAGACGCGCTCTGGGTCTTGCCCAGAAGACCGAGTTGACTGATCTGGAGAGCTATCGTGAGGACCGGAGTTGGAGGTGGAAGCAGCAGTCTGAGATGAATTCCCAGCGAGCTCCTCAGATGTGTCCATTAAGACATTACCGGAGGCATCATCAGAGGCGTCTTCCCGTGTTGAGTCTTGCATCTCGATGACAGTTTGCAAGCGCTCATAGGTAAATGTGCGCTCGTATTTTGCAAGGACTCGAGCGAAGAACGCATCAGCGTCACCAAGAAACGTCGTATCGTAGAATTCCGACGTGAGCTGAGCGTAGACGCGTGCGTCGTCTGAGCGAGTGGTGCGTAGATTGCTTTCGGGAAATGGGGGCGGGAAAAAACCCCTGAGCATTTCAAGTCGTTGAAACTTCATCTTGCCAAGACTGACAGGCTTCCTGCGCTCAAAGTATGCGTCTGCCTCGAAAATTGCATTCAAGATGTCTAGCTGACTTTGATCTTCGCGGCCCTTAAAGAGATCGCAGACAGCTTCAGGCGTATTGCTTTCCTTCTTGTTCTTCGTCTTCATGATGCACGACAGAATACAATGAAATGCCAGTTGCATGTCCCCCCAACGTGGATGTTCAGGACCATCGCAAGTATTGTAGAGGAGGCATATCAATTCGAAAGCTTCTCCCACATTGGCATCTCTGAAGAGATTCTCCAGCCAGAGCTCGGCTTCAGCCAGTGCATGTTGTCGGGGACTGACCTCCGCTAGTCGTGGTACTTCTGAGCTTGCTTCCATCACTGGTTCTGACGGATCCTCGTCCATCGCTTGTTGCGCCGAGCGCGTCTGACAGCCGTCATTTGATCCGCCATCCAGGCCTGGCTCTGAGAGATAGAAGCGCGTTTCATAGGCGGAGTCATAAGACGCAGTCGTCAGCTTCAGCGTAAAATGATAGCTCAAGTGTTGGCGCAAGCAGGCCTGGTCGCACAGCCAGCAACTACTCACCCATGATGCAGTTCGGTAAAAGGGAAAGCGGATGATCGGGTGGATGTATGCACGTGCAACGCGAGGCCAGATAAGTCCGCAGCGACTAGGATTCCGTGTTGGATGCGATGCTAGTGCACATAGCACTCAAGGTCGCGGACTGGACCTTCACTTCAGGCATCAGCTGTGACCGGTAGCTAAGATGGCTCGACGACAGCCAGGGCACAGCCTTGAGCCGTCACTTGAGCAGCACTCCAGAATGCAGGTTACGAATCGTGAATGTGAACGTAAGGCCGAGCGAGCCAAGAACGGCAAGGTCAGCGCATTACTGAAGAGGCTCAAGTTGACGAGATCTGTCTCGAGTGGAGAGTGCTCTGATAGTCGTGAGTAGCCACGAGTCACAACGGCAATGAGTCTTGAGAAGTCAAGTTATGATGAAGAGTCTTGACGAGTGTGAGTCAAAGTCTAGTGTAGCGTCAAGAGTCACAGTCAAGAGTCAAAGTCAAGAGTAAATTCTGCCCTTGTTGAGTTTTGAGTGGGCACATGACCGGTCACGTGTCTTGAATCTAAGGTCGTGGACGCGCGTGGAGTTGAAACGAGGCATGCAGCGCGGGAACCAACACACGCGCACGCACGCACCAGAAAGCGCAATCAGGGGCCGGCCGGCGTGCTTTTGGGCTCCTCATGACTCGTCACTGTGCTTGAACACTCACGACTCGTGCGGACTCTCCGACACACCACGACATCAGCCTTGACTCGACTCAAGACTCTATACCTTTCTAAAGCGCTGAGCCCCTCACGCGTCAGCTCATCTCGGTGCGGCCGATCCCATCAGCCCCTTCCGTTGCGCCTGCCACTCGACGGAGCCACGCCGATTAGCGCACCAGCCGCGCTGCTCCCAGTGCACAATCCACCACGACCGACAGCGTTTCAGCTTCATCACACCATCTCCTTGCCGCTCACGATGTCTTCGTTCTTTGGACTGAGCAAGACGCGCACTTTCAAGCCCAAGCGCAATGTGCCCGAGGGAACCAAGCAATACCAACTCAAGCGCTATGCTGAGGCTACTTTGGGTAGTGGAAACTTAAGACAGGCGGTGGTTTTGCCAGAGGGAGAGGATCTGGATGAGTGGTTGGCGGTCAACAGTGAGTCTATGCGAATGCTTGCAAGGTGGTTCCGCTCGAGCAGCGGTATAGAGGGAGCGTCTGTGGTGTAGAGCAGCTGGGACGGGTGCTGTGCGCTGATGGTAGTCACGCGAGCAATCGCTCGAAAGCCAGCGCTGCTCACACTATCATGCTTCCTACCTTGCAGCTGGCGACTTTTTCAACCATCTCAACATGCTGTACGGAACCATCACCGAATTCTGCACACCCCACGAATGCCCCAGCATGACCGCAGGTCCTCGCTACGAGTATCACTGGCAGGATGCCAACTCTGCAGCATACAAGCGACCCACTCGCATGAGCGCACCAGAGTACGTCGATTGCCTCATGACTTGGACTCAGAACCTGCTCGACGACGAAGAAGTTTTCCCTTCCAAGCTCGGTGTGCCGTTTCCCGGCAACTTTCAAGCTACTGTCAAGGGAATTTTGAGGCGCCTCTTTAGAGTGTATGCGCACATTTACAACCACCACTTTGCCCAGATTTGCGCATTGTCCATCGAAGGTGAGCCTCTGAAAATCAGTCTGCTTGCGTACGAAGGTGCGCGAGAGCTCAGGCTCGATCCTTCACTCTGCCACCGCAGCGCACCTCAACACCTCCTACCGTCACTTTTTGCTCTTCGTCACCGAGTTCAACCTCATCGAGAGTCGCGAGCTGGCACCATTGCAAGAGCTCAACGAGGCCATCCTCGAGGACTCGTAGATGGCGCGACCTGCGCGTTCGGAGCTTGCCACCGCGCCAACTCGCTACGACGCACGGCACGCACTTGACCATTTCATCTGCCATCTGCTATCGGACCCCATCCGCTGTACCTACTGACGACGCTTTATGACCAGATAATGATCGGCCTCTTGTCCCACTGTGCTTTCTCTGCATACGCGTGCCGACGGCTGAGCGCCAAAACAATCGCAAACAAGGGATGCGATTCATGTAGGTGATGGATGAAACATTCTAGCATGTGTGGCTCGTGGAGAAAACATGAAAAGTGCGAAGCCGAGACTATAGTGACAAACGAGAAAGAAATTCTAAGAGTCATTGTTGGAGGGAAGACGTGAAGGGCAGAAGTGGGGCCAAATGAATTGAGATACAAATTTGGACGACGGGCGCTATGTGGCTCAAGGAGCGTGTCGCTCAAGAACCCAAGCATCCGTCCCGCCTATCTTTTGTCTCTCTTCCAGAGGGATTCTCCAATCGCCCTGAAAGTATCGCGGGAGCGTGCCACGCGCACCTTCGACCCTGTGGAACTGCCTCGATTGGAAGAGTGCTAGAGCGCCAGAGTTGGCTGGATGGACTTCCAGAGTGGTGTGCATGGGTTCCGCCATCAGCTGCTCGGTGGTGGGAGCCGACCGGTTCTGGTTGCTGCCTCTCCTGCGTGGCTTGGCCGCCAGTGCAACAGCTTTTGCTTTCGCCTCTTTGAGAAGCGCGTCTAGTAGTCGCGCTCCCAATCCTTGACCCCTCTCCGAGTGAGCCACAGCAAGTGTCAACACATGCGCTTCCAGATGAGGCATGACTTGGGCAGGCGCAGAATCTATACCGGGCCACAGGTCGCCGCCAGCGTAGCTGGGTGGTACGGCCTTGGTCGAAATCTTGGCTGAAGCTACACCCAAGATCGTCTCGGCGTCGGTGTTGAAGAGCCCACCAGGTGGAGGCGCAGCCATGACGCGAACGGCACGAGGCGGAGCAACGGAATTTGTCGGTCCTGCAAGCACCGTTTTGAAACCTCTTCTCGGCTCTTCGGGTGGCGAGTGCGAATCCAACGAGGTCGGCGCGGTCTGTAATTCGCTCGAGCTCTGATCCTGAGAGGCTGTGCAACTCCTCAGCTCTCTTGCTGGAACGCTTGTTTGCTGCAGTCGTGACCCTGAATTGCCATTGGCTGCACCGCTCCTTCTGCGTGGCGAAAGAATGCCAGAGAGCTTGGAAGGACCTTTCAAAGAGGTGGAGACGAAAGCAGGCGCGTCTCGAGGCGATGTGCCGAACAAGCTGTCGGGCGGTGTGGATGTGCTGCCAGAAGCATCATCCCGTGAGAGCCCGCTCGTAGACGGTGGTCCGCTAGCCCCCGGAGAGTGCCAGCCAGTATTGAGATCGAAGCGCTTTGGTGTGGCAAGGGTGCGGTTGGTGATTCCCGTGAGATATGGGCTTGCTCCAGCTATGCCCCGTCCCGCTAGGAGGTACTGGCCACCACTCGGCGGCATGTCCAAGGAGGGGGGCGGACAGCTGGGCATCAATTGCGTTGGCAGGGGAGCGGGCTCGGGCAATGGCCTTGCAACAGCGACCAAGCACACGTGCTTTTCGTCAACCAAAAGGCGGATCAAGAATCCAGCACTCGTGGTGTATGTATCAAAGTCGACCTACGTGTCACACAGCGAGGTTTCAGTGTCACGCTAGCAAACATGAGAAGCTTCCGGTTGTGCACCGCGTAGTCATCTCACTCACCTTTAGGTCTTGGTCGCCGTGCAAGCAATGTAGCTCTCTGACCTGCTCCAAGTCAGGTCTGCGCAAGCTCCGCACGTCGACTCGCGCATCCAAGGCTGCTTGCTTGGCTACTGGGTCGATCCGAGGAGGAACGTGCAGCTGGACGCCGGCCATCGAGCCTGCTCGCGTCGACTGACCAGGTCGAATTGTCTGCCCATCCTTGCTGTCTGCGTCTCCCTCTGAGAGAGCCGAGCTGAGCTGGGCATACTTCCACGTAGCATGTCCGACTGACGACACAGGCGCGTCGGATCCAGCCACGTCCTCCTCTTGCAGTCGTTTCTCGGTATCCAAGTCGAGATCGAGATCCACGTCAAGCTCTTGAGGGGGTGAGAGCTCGGCAGTGATGCTGTCAGCGTCATCATCGTCCTCGTCGACAGTATCTGCCAGTGGCAGATGTTCATGAGGATCCGCCACACCTGGCACTTTCGGCACCGAGACTGGCAGTGCATGTGGCAAGGTGGACCCATGAGCCGCTGGCACTTCTGAAGTGCCAGCCTCCTTCTGTATCATGCCGCCCTTGTCCTGCTCCTCTTCTTCTTCGAAGATTAGATAACGCGGCTTCCTCTCCCAGTCGTTCGCCTCGAGATTCCGCTTCAGACCTTCGAGCCTGCTGGCCAAGTAGACAGCATCAGGCGCGTAGCTCATGACTGTCCTATCACCCAGCTCCTCCATCTCTTGCTCGACTGCATGCGCTGTCTTGCCCTTCCACCGCCTCCCTGCATACTCTATGCCTTGCCCGTCATCGTCCGAATCAATTTTCTCTGGAGCGCCATTGCTGACGTATGCGGTCTCGACGTAGGCTGACCGCTTCCTCGAGGTTGCCGGAGCTACGTCGCGGCGCACTGCAGGCTGCTTGCCGTACCTGGGCATGGGCGCAAAACTGGCACGCACATCGAACGGAGCTGGCGAGCCTTCGCCGGTGGATGGTGTTGGACATGTTGAGGTGTCGCCAGCCCCCACTTGAAACACAGCTCCGGTGCGGGGCCTGACCTGAAAATTTGAGTCTGGCCGGAATGGCGATGCGGTAGGGGAACGGCAGACTCCATACGAAGCGGGAGGGGGCGCAAAGGCTGGCACTGCTTCTGGAGCCTTGGGAGGCGATGTCACGGCAGGTCGCGAGTCGTCATCATCCGGTACCATGCGCAAGAAGCCTCCGCCTGGAAGTCCCCTTCGAGGAGCAGCGAGCGACATTTTGGTGTCAAGATGGTGTTGTGATCGTACCGTGCCGTCGTTGGCCTAGTTTGTGAGCGGTGAAAGTGTTTCAATGTGGAATGAACGCTCTCTCTCAATGAAGATCAAGAGGAATGGCGGGGCAAAATGCCCGACCTAGCGTCCTGAGTCGGTGATGAGCATTTCTTGCGATTGAGGGTAATGCAGCAAGAGGGCACTGAGCCGGCGCGGAAGCTTCAATAAGGGCTCGAGGAGCTACTTGCGCTCTTGCTGAGGAAGCACAACAGTCACGTAATCCGGGAGGATGTATGCGTCGAGCGGAGCTCGCCGCAACCGTCTATTGCTCGTCGTGTCGCTGACCAGATCGTTCAGTCGGCGAATCAATACCTAAGGGGAGCGCTGATGAAAGGTGGCGACAGGATGGACTCAGCGAGATGGGACCAGGCTTGTGGGTAAGGCCCAACGAGGTGATAGGGAAAGAGGAAGCTTGCCCGGCCGCTCTGTGTGCTCAGTCGTGGCTCGGCCAACAAGGTGATCTTATGCGGAGCCCCTACTTCGAAGAGGTTGCCGACTACTGTCCCGTACAGCTATAGCAATGCGCGATTGCTGCATCGCAAATGGCAGAGTCCTGATTGCGTGCGCGCGCACCTCGCTTGATCGCGATCGCCCGCATGGCCGCGGGGCGCACGATGCGCGCGCTTTCAGCAGCATATGCGGGAGAGCGCGTGAGAGCGAAGCGGACGGGCTAGCGGACGCGGAGGCGCCTACTCGCGCCCGCGCCGATGTCCGCCCCGCTGTGCTCTAGACGAGCTGCAGTTTGCTTGCCCGACAGGGCCGCACAGCCAAATCTATCCTTATGACCCCGGAGATCTCTTTGAGTCAAGAGTGCATGCAAGGGTTCTCTTTGCAGCTGATGTGTGCATGCCGACACGTGATCGATACTCTTGCGCCCGATTTCGCGCGCGTCTGTCTTATCCACAGCCGAGCTGTGATCATGCAGCAGGGTCTACGGCACGTGAATAGATCTCGTATAGAAATTTGTGTCGCCGCGTGTGGACATCATTCCGCGATTGCCTCGACACAAGACGGTGTTGATCGATCACGCTCCGCAGAAGCCGCGCTGACACGCCGCTACCAATTTGCTCTACTTGCTCTCTTGCCAGGCTCAGACCTCAGTTGTGTTTGCAATTCTGAGGCAGACGAATCATGATTGAGACTATTCAGCTTGTAAGCGGCGTGAAGCGACCTGACATCCATGGACCGGTCGGACTCGATTGAGCATCTCGCGGGGCTGGCTGCACGCCGGACGCTAGGAGGTCGATCACGTCCGGTACACCGCGATTGAACGGCTGCGAAGACTGCGAGGTGGCGGGGGAGCTATGAGACGCCATTGTGCTGGTTGAAGTTGGAAGGCTGATGAGAGAAATCACCGAGCCTTTACCTGCTGCAGCGTCTGGAAATACGACGACCGCGCGGATAGCAAGACAGGTCGACTGTTGTATAGAGCCGCGAGCCCTTACGTGCTCGTTCGCTCCGCAGAGAGAGAGCTGATGCAGCATGCACCCGTGAAGCCACACCATTCCGCTTCGCGTCAGACGCGCCGCCAGAGCCGTCCGTCACTCGTCGTGGATCGACGTACCTATGATGACAAGGGCCGGAGTCTGTGCGAATATGCACACGGTGGGACGTAATGAGCGCACGCATTGTCAAGGAAAGCTTCAAGCTTCCCTTGCTTCCATCTGCTCTCCAGCGTATATCGCGATCTCGAATGAGAGCAGGCGCACCAACCTGCTGATTTAGGGGCAAAGAGGTTCGCGAGCAGCAACGCTGCATATGATGCTGCTGCTTATACCGTACCGTACATATTATTTATGGGTCCGTGATGCTCATGCAATGCTCACGGAGTAGCGTGGTGCAAGTCACCGCGGAGTGGCGCGCCCAAGAAAAGCCGCCGCGCGCCGTGCGACGGAATGAGGCTCGCGCAGGCGTGAAGCGCGGCGATGCTCGTGTGCGATGCTGCATGCTTTCGCGCATTGCTCGGGCGCGCAATGTCTTCGAATTCTTGATTGCTTGCCCATCCGAATCAATAAATATAATACAATACCGGTAATCACGAATGAGGCGCTCGCTTCGAGCCATCTGAGCAATCAAAGATTTTCATCTCCGTTCTCCATCCTTATATACTAATTCTTGGCTGTCGCTGCTGTCGCCCTGACACACAAGAAGCCAGTCATCTTTTGCGACTTTGATCCGCTCTGCGCCGTTTCTTCACAACTCTCATCCTTGCTTGTCAACCCTCTCGCTTCGATCAGACCTCCCTTTTTACCTTCGCCTCGCCTTCTTCACCTCGCCACGAAAGTCTCTTGCTCGCTCTATCTCGCCTCTGTCGTCGCTCTACACCTTTACATCACATCGACATGCACTCTTTGGCTCTTCTAATTGGCGTGGCCAGCACCCTTGCCTCCGCCGCGGCTTCCCCTCAAGCCTACCAAGCTTCACAGCTGCTTTCGCTCAATGCAAGGCAGGAGCCACCTTCTAACACTGTAAGTGCCAAGGTCCGCGCTGATGGCAGTGATCATGACGCATCAATCGCTGACAGGGTGAGGCTCTGCACCTCAACCTAGCCTTTGTACTTGAATGCCCCTGCTTGCGACTTTTACCAATGCAGTGTCAATCTTTCTGTGAGTGGAAGCGATGTAGCTCGAGAACGCGACACTCCATGTTGAAGCTGCCCTCTAACGGCTTGCAGGTCGGTGGCAATCTTGCCGTCAACTGGCTCAACCCCCCGGCTGGTGATGTCAACATTGACCTGATGGGAAACGCGTCCTCGTACGTCGCGCACCACGTTGCCACTGTCGCAAGCAACAGCGAAGGCGACCGATGTGATGCGGGAGCGGGCATTGGTCAGCAGAACAACGGCGTCAAGTGTGGCCGCTACGAATTCATCATTCCTAACGGCTGGGAGGGCAACTGTGAGTTAGCTGATAGAGCGTGGCATTCTTGGGTGTGCAGTAGACGGCATTGGGGTGATCTGGCGGTATCCGTCATGCCTGGAAATAGTCTCTGCGTGGCAGAGCAGACGTTTGGTTTGGGAGGAATTGGAGAATTGTGCTCACTCGCTATCATTGGTCCTCCCTCAGACACCGTTCGAGCTTCGCTGGTGCAAGACCCCAGTGTGGAGTCCTATACAGATGTCGTACTGATCGGCCCCAACGCCACTGCAAGCAGCCTGCCCACCACCGTCGTGCCGATCAACGGAGCGCCAGCTGCGACGTCCAGCGCTGCTGGAAACTCCAGCTCCTCAGGAAGCCCAGCAGCCACCAGCTCGAGTGCCGGTGCGCCCGCTGGTAGCGGTACTGGGACCCCACGCTCTGGCTCGCCTGACTCGGCCACGACCCTGGCTCGTAGCATGGACCGCCACACTGTCGCAATTGCTGCCGCAGGCGTCGTATTTGGTGCCCTTGCTCTTCTGTGATCCCCTAGTCGCTTCAAAGATGACCTTAGCCGGAGGGAGCGAAATTACCACTCCTGGCCCCCGCCAATCCATCTTTAGCACGGAAGGCCAGTGCATGGCGCCTTATCTCTTCGAGCGCGGACAATTCATCTTTATCATTCTCCCCGCATTCATTCACGCTTATCCACACTCATTCAGCACGGCTCTCGCTCGCCCATCGCCTAATTGCCCATGGTGATCGACGCCCAACGCAGGCTCACCGCTCATCCCAAGTCATCTCACATACATAGTGCTAATCATTGCATGCTTTTGCTCCACACACTCATGACTCTCGACGCGCACCTGAAAATGACTGAGCGTGCTGCTGCCCTATGAGTTCATTGTCCTGCGTGGCGCGATCATGTCAGATGGATCAGCCCAGGTCATGACAAGCTATGCTCACTCTACTCGCGTGAAGTGCTGAAGCTCAAGGTTGATCGCGAATGTAGACGCGCTCATCCAACGCCGCTAAACGGCCCGAATTGGCAATTCACGATTGAGACGGATCCCTACAGCGGTCGACGCGATTGGCAGTTGGACAAGGCGGAGGAAGAACCGCGCTTGACTTGATCGATTCATGACTCAGGACTTGACTGCAACGAGCTCAGAGGGGCTAGAAGACGTTACATTTCGCACCCTTTTTGTGTATGCCTTGTCTGCTACGGAGGTGCGATGAGCGGCGGTCACTTCTTTCAATCCGCCCTCGAATAAAGTTTCGGAATCTGAATGGCGAATTTGAATCAAGAATAGTGAATGTAATCCAACATCGCGCGCCCGCGTGTGAACGGACGCAAACATGATCACATCAATCGTGAATTTGAATCAGGAATCGTGAAACGCGGATGCATGGGACGTATAGCAGCAGTCACGAGTGCTGGCAAACGCTGTGGCCGTCAGCAGCAGTCGACTGCTGATGCAATTCAAGATTGAGATTCAGATTGCTTGTTTGGGGTACGTGCAGCACTAGTCGCGAGCGGACATGAGTTTTGATGGCTTGGCACTTCAGCATTTATTTAGCTACCGCGGTCGTTGACGAGATGGCGCCGAGCGAGCTCAAAAAGGTCTCATGCGGCGGGGTGAAGGTGAGACGTCTGCGCGTACTCATGCAGACTGTGCAGGTTGTTCTTGCTACCGGCGGAGCTGCTCGTCGTGCTTGCTGTTGGTCGCACTGGAGATGCTGCAACGCCGCTAGCTAGGAGTCATATTCATCAGCAGAGTCGACGTAAAATGCAGAGCCGCGAGAGGGTCATTTTGACTGCTGCGTGTATACGTGACGCGCGCATGCGGTGTCAAACGCTTGCGTGAATCTTGCGCGACCCATGCAGCCGCTGCCGCGACTTGCTCCTCAATCCTTACACCCATGCATCCATCGTCCATCGTCTCGCTCTCGTTTCGTCGGCTCCTTTTCTCTTCGATACAGATCTGTATGGCGGCAGGTCCACACGGACAGCGCTCCGTGCGCTTCAAGCTGTGTCTATTGCCGACCAGCTTTTTCGCTTCTCAGTAAATCGTTGCGCTCTATAAATGTGGAACTGCTGCAAACATCGTATTGTTCACGACTTCGCCCCCTACCAATTTCTCTGTCAAAATCTGCTTCGAGGAACGCTCGAGGCACTTGGCTCATCATGGCGAGCGCACTGCAACGTCTTTTCCGCAAACGTGCCAAGGCTCGACAGCAGGAGGCCCAAAGCAAAGAGGCGAACGCGCGCCGTTCGCACGCTCTCGAGGATGCATTCTCTTCATCACCAGGCGGCGGTCTCAACCGCCCATCTCCCGCCGATCGGTCGTCCTCGCCTGCCTCTTCGCTCTACTCGGCGCCCCTCACGCCGCACTCGACCCGCACGGCGTCGACCGACTTTGTCCATCACAAGAGCCACGTGCCCCTGAGTCCAGCGCTTACTGTGTCCAGCTTAGCCTCGCTTCGAAGTCCGGACTCGTCCTCCACCCAAGCCATGACCGCACCCTTCAGTGGCTGGCTTTCAGGCCCCAGCAGGCCACGCGCTCACAGCTTCGATGCCCTGTCAGCCTTCTCTGGCCAGAGCGGTCTCAGCAAGCAGCCAGGATTCACACACGACGAGTTTGGACGCATGTCCCTACAAGAGAGTCGAGCGGATGAGACCATGTACTCCTTCACGCACGCCTCGGACAACGAAGAGGAGGACGACTTTGATGTCAATCCAGTCTACACTGCACTCTCGGAGACACCAGTGCATCAGCAGGATTGGCGTGCTGCCAGGCTTGTCCTCCTGCCGCCAGCTTCCTTGCTTCGAGAAATGAGCGTCCCAGTAGACTCAGAGCCTGCTTGGACCGCACTACATGCGCTCAAGCCTTCACCTGTCTACCGCGACCAGTATGTAAATGTGCGAAGCTCTGATCAGACCTCGCAGCGCACCACCCACAAGCGACCTGCGGAGGATCTAGACCGTCGTGACGCCAAGGATGCGAGATCCTCCGCTCAGGAAGCCCCAAATGTCCATTTTCCGACTTTGTCCAGCGCTCGCTCAGAGTGGGACGAGTGCCAGGTCACGGCCACACTCGGAGAGGATCGTCGAGTGTCGGTCTGCCTCGATTGGCCTGACAGGCCTGCAATCCAGTGCGTGGCGCGTGTCGTTAGCGAAGTGAGTGTCTACCGTACTCAGGCTGTCAGCGAAGGGCCGGATGAGAGGCGCAACGATGCCAGTTCTCCTGGTGGACCGACCTCGCCCCACGGCTTCGAGGTGCTCTCGCGAACAGTTCAGCCATCTGCAGCGAAGCCAAAGGGCAAGCAGGAGAAGATCCGCGTGCGAGTTTTGCTCCTGGACGGCTTGATCGCTCCTAGATCCTTGGACACGTGCGATGTTGGCGGAGCAGCAGCTAGCCCGATCGTCGACGAGACCATGCAGGATGCCAGCTCTAGCGCTCCCATGTCGAGAGCACCAAGCTCAGCGGCCTCCATCGTCTTTCCCTCCGCCGAACCTCAATCGCCTACGGATCTCAGCAGAGCGCCAAGCATGGGTAGATCGGTGTCGATGCGTAGTGCCAGCACCTTGTTACAGGAACGCATTCAGGCAGTGCTTCCCGAGCAGCCTAATCTGGCTTGCGACTTGCTGCTGCTCAAGAGCCCGCCCATGGACCTTCCCGAAACGCTGCGGAACGCCTTGAGCGCGGCGTTTACAGAGATCCAAAGAAACGCCGACTCCTTTCGAAGCGCTTACGTGCTGGTTCGGGGCTTTGAGCAGTACGACGCAACGCGCGTTCGCCGAGGCGTCGTGCTTCCAGCAGTTCGACTTTTGGATGGACCCACCGCCAGCTTGGGCTCTGCCCTACGACACAGGCTAGCTCTAGCCTGCGAGAATGTGGCTTTTGGAATCTTGCACAGCCGCCTGTATCCAGCAGTGCGCGCAACACAGCGTGTCGAAGACGAGGCACTGGATGCGTTGCTGCATACCTACGCCAAGTCGGGCAAGCCAGCAGCAGTATCCCTCGGAGTGACAGTGTCTAGTCTGCGATCTCGACCCGCTCGACTAGATCCTGCTGTGCGCATCTTGGAAAGCATTGGAACAGCGAACGAAGAAGCGGACAGGCTTATGAGGCTAGACGCCTCTACGCTCCAAAGTGTAGCGCAAGGCTCGTCTCAGCGGGAAGGCGACTGGTCCGGCTGTACGCAGTCCTCGCAACGGGTACGGACGCCACTGGATATACTCGCGACGCTGGTCTCCATTCTCAAAGCGATTGGTGAGTCGGTGACCACGGCAGCACGAACAAGCAGCCACTCGAGCTTGGGCAGCATGCTCGATTCGCACGAATCACGACCCCTGGGCGCCGACGAATTGCTACCGATCGTCGCTACTGTCATTGTGCGAGCACGTCCTGCGGCTCTCGGTAGCGCACTGTTGTATGCACGAACATTTGGCATCGACAACTCCACGAATGCTGAGACGAGGTGAGTCATCGTGGCAATGGCTGCTCTGTTGGCGTCCAAAGATCTTCTGACCTCTCCATGTTTTTGCTTCTCAGTTGGGCTTTAACCACCTTTGAAGCCGTGCTGGAATGGTTGCGAGCCGACCCACTTCGTTTGAGAGGTGGACCACGCGGGCCTCAGGAGGTGGTTCCTGCTCCACCAACGTCTCTTGACGGTCAAGAGATTGGCATTCCTCCTTCCAGACGTGCGGGCGCTTCTGACTCGGAAGTGCCGCAGATTGACGACGTGGCGCGTAGTCGGCGAACATCGTTGCCATCGGATGTTCTGCTGATGGCGCGCAGCAACTGTGCAATGATGCGCTCAACGAGCTCTTTCTCGGAGCGTGACACAGCGAGCAGGCCGACTTCGCCCGAGGATGAGGCAACGGGCAACGATAGCTTCAAAATGCCTGGCCGGCCCGCGTCGGCGACGTTCAATCAATCCCTATCGCGACATCACAGTCGAGTAAAGCGTCCTCAGAGCGTGCTAGGAGTCTTGGGCGAAGACACGGCCTTTGCTGGTTGCGGAGCGCGTAGTTCGGCAGAGCCAGATTCTCACCTGGCCGCGAGCGATTCTGCACCCATCCCGTCGCACCCGAATCTCCATATACGCCCGCAGATCGTGACGCGAAGGCGGCCGACAGCCTCGGCTGCGTCGACTTCGAGTGGAAGGGCCGAAAGAGCCTCTGCGCTCGAAAGAAGTGCCGTGATCGGTGCATCGTTTTCGGACATGCCCGTGCGCGTAGTTGGTTGCGAGGCTTCCTTGAGCTCGCCGACATCGTCAGGCATGACTCGAGGCGGCAGTGAAGATCTTACAACGATGGCAAATCCTGGCCATGTCAGACCGGACGGCGGACGAAGAAAGAGCATGGATTCGTGGTCCGCCCTGTCCATGTTTTATCGAGCACCATCAGAGGAGAGGTCACGCCCGGAATCCGCCACACAACATGCTAAGGATCAAAATAGGAAGGCTTCAGTTCGTAGTCTCAGCCCTGCTGCATCTTCGGTGTCCGAGGAAGGCGACGTGTGGAAGGCGCCTCCCTCACAAAGTGGTGCATGGCTTCCGACATGGTCCGATTTTAGCACTAGTGGTCGCAAAAGGGCGAGCTTTTCGGCAGGGACATTAAGCGCGACGATGCAGAGCACTAGTCCGTCTGCGAGTGCCGTGAGCACAGATGGAATCAGCCCGAGCGGAACCTTTAGCACGCTACCTCGGTCGAACTCGGGCAGCGGGTTTGCAGCCTTGTGCGGCGAAAGTCCACGCTCCATCTCGTCTGCGCGCTTCACAGATACCGCAACAGCAGCAACTGGCCCCGCAGTGCCCACCTTGCAAGCCTGGCCTCACCGACCCTCTTCCATCAAGCGCACTGCGTCGTCCATCTCAGCACAGACCCAGGTAGTACCCGATCAGTCGACTGCATCAATCTGCGACTCGGGCTCGGAGGCTAGCTCCCTCAAATCGTCTCGCGGATCACAAGGTGTCCGAGCATTCGAAACCAGTGCATTGGAGCGACGTCGACGCTTGTCTCGATTGATGTCTCCCTCGCTTTCTGCTTCGGCCTCGCCTGCCATGCAGCCTAGCCTGGCGGTCGACTTCTCAGCCTCCGGTGACTTCACGCCGGCGCGCCCGTTCGCCGAGGAAAGAATGCCCGTCTCCAATACCCACGCACCGGCACCTGAATTTGCTGCTTTTCGAGCCGCTTTGGCCGCTTCGTTCGGCTCGCGAAGCCCGCCGTCTTCTTCTTCCTCTGCCCAAGGCGAGACTGGCGATCGACACTCTCGCAGACGCGTAAGCTTCAGTGACAGCACCACCCCAGGCAGCAGTGGGCGTTTGCACGCGGCCATCGCCTCGGATGCAAGCTCCTCGCATAGTCAGCGTGATTCGTACTTTCCGCAATTGCGAATCCACGTGCCTTCGCCAGTGCAGGAGCTGGCTGATCCGATCAGCAGCGCGACCATAAGCAGTGGGGCCCATCCTGGCGAGTCTCTTTCACCACCCGCAGCTGCATCGCGCGGCTCGCGCCAAACGGAAGCTGTGAGGCAAGGCGCGGATCACACGCAGCTCGCGAGGCATGTGCTGCCCGCCCCAAAAGCGCTCTCGGCTTCCAGATGAGAGTAGGGCGCTACGTTGCTTGAGCAAATTGCTGCGCCTAATCTCATTCTCGACTAACTGACTGCACCACGTCCGGTGCGGCGTCCTTCACCAGCTTCTACATTCTAGCAGGAGCAGTGCTCCAGCGTTTCCCGAATCGTTGCCAAACCTTTTTGTTCTTGCTCGCCTTCTACACGTGTGGACATTGAGCGGCTCCAGCGACCCGTGTGCATCGAAGCGTCCTCAAGAATGGCAACCACATCCGCATACCAATCCGACTCCAGACAATGCAGACTCGAACGCACCAATGGGCTCCTCTCATTTCGCGTGCCACGCTTACCGTTCCCTCATGTTGTACATGTACCTGAGCTCGCGCAATCAACATATGACCAGCCCAGCTTCAAATTCAAGCGCTGCTCGAGTGCTCGTTTGAGTCCTGGCTTTCACGTTGCTCAACACCACACATCTTGCCCGGCGTGAGCACGAACCAGGCCACAAAAGGTGCGGCCGAGCTCGGCAAAACACAAATAGTTTTTTTCTACCAACGCGTATATTTCGAGCAGTCATTGCTAGGAGCCTGACGTTGTCAATCTTGCGAACCGTCATCTGCACCGCGAATGCGGAAGCTAGGGTGCATTGAGATCAATGATCAGTCGTGAGACACTGAAGCGGCACAATGTATCGATGTCTTCTCGAGAGGAGTACCAAAAGAGCACAGGAGCGCATCGTATTGGCCGTCAGAGGGAGCTTCAGATCAGAGACTCGTTGGCGAGCCACTTCTCGATGAGCACCTGAGCTGCAAGAGGCTGGTCGTAGGGGACCATGTGACCGGCTCCCTTGACCTCGACCAGAGTAAAGGTTCCGGCACCCTTGCCTGCTTGACGAACAGCACCAGCAACCTTGCCGTCAACCTTCCACTCTTGCTGCTTGGCGGCGTTCAGCTCGTCCTTGAAGGGAGTGTCGAGCTTGAGACCCCAAGCGCTATGACCGACGTTTCCAATGTAGTTGCACATGTAGTCTGCCACACCAGCGTAGCTGACGCAAAAAGTGGACGTAGAAGTGGGTCAGCCTTGGAGCGAAAGAGTCGCAGAGAAGTTCGATGCTCACACGAGCACGCGAACGCCGTCCTCGATCAGTCCAGGGATAACCGCAGCAGAGTTGTGCATGCCATCTCCCTATGCGACACAAAATAATTGTGAGCAGGAGCCCATCAAGCGACAACCGCAACATGTCCTCACCTGGAACATGAACGCCTGGTTGACCTCCATGTTGCAAGCTTCAAACTTGATGTCCTGGGGAACGCTAAAGGCCTTCTTCGTAGAGTCGAGGTTCATGAACGCCTGTACGTAGCTTTCGTCACGGTAGCAAAGAGGACCGTCCTTGTCCTCGCTTCTGTCGCACTTCTTCCTGACGTCGTACGGGTTCACACCCGCATTCTGCATATCGCCGTAGAGGCCAGACCAGCAGTACAGAGCGGCGGGAAGGCAAGCCAGGCGCGAATTGCTCTTGTAGCAAGAGCCGATCAGAGATGAGCACGTCTTGGCTTTAGATTCGAGCTTATCGCACACCTCGGAGTTGCCCTTGAAGATGGCGCTGATGAACGCATTGGGGGTCAAAGGGGGACGCTGAAAAGCGTTGACGATAGCTACCACTCACTATTCGCCCTTGCAAGCGTACTCTGGAACGGTCTCAAACTGCGTTTGAGGCTCAGTAAGACCGTTGCCGAGGAGAATGCTTTCGAGATTGATGACCTTGGTAGCGATGGTGTCAGGGTTCGCGAATCTGCTGCGAGCCAGCTTCTTGTTCTCCTCGTTGATCTTGGCGGCATATAGAGGGGCGTAGCGTCCACCGTAGCTCTCAGCAGCAATGCTAAAGGGCTGGTTGGAGTACTGAGGGTAGCGAGCGAAAAACAGGGACAGGAAGGCGTATACATCGTCGGCAGCTTGCGGAGTGCTGCTCACTCCTCCACCTTCGCTGTACGAGAAGCCGACATTGACAGGCTGATCCAAGAAGAACACGCTGGACTTTGAGGTCCACGAGTGCTTGTTGTACTGCAGAAGGTCGAGCAGCGTCTGTCGTTAGTACTGCAATGGCGCATACATACTGACGGTTTGTAGGGAGCGCATATAAATTGCTCACCTTGGTGTCAGTGCCATTCTTGTCGATAGTGCAAGGTCCTACACCCTCCATCAGCCAGCCAGTCGAGGAGGAGCATCCCTTTGAGAGAGGAGGGCAGATGCAGTGCGCAAAGCGTCAGCAATCTGAGCGGCTGATCGATTCAGTCACCGATGACACTCACAGGTCCACCGTTCAGCCAAAGCGTGACGGGGTCCTTTGCAGGGTCGCTGCGCGATTCGAAGAAGGCGAACCAAAGATGCTTGTCCGCATCAATGTCGAGATATCCCGCAAAAGATTTGACATCGGAGTCGCAGTGGTCCAAGGGCGTCTGACTGATGCGGAGCGAGTATCTAGGGAATTGCTGGTGAACCAATCGCTCGTATCGAGTTCCTTGAACGCTGACGAGCCCTTTGCTGATCCAGCCTTGAGCATCGTGCTTGGCGTTCTTGAACGCATTCTCCACCTTGTGCTTAGCGTGCTCGATTTGCTGATGGATCTCGTCAAACAGCATCTCGGCGCCTTGCTCGGTTGAACTTTGGGCCTCGATGAGCTGCTCCTTGAGCCATTCCGTCACCGGACGAGCTTGCTCCTCAAGCTCAGGCACGTTGAGGTCCTCGAAGCTGGGTCTGCTCAAAGGTTTGGGAGAAGCGCCAACTGCCTGCTTTGCCTGCTCCAGCTTCTCGCTCGCCCAGTGCATTCCACCCATGGCGTCCACTTGCAGCTCTTCCGCAGGACCACGCAGAGAGTCAAGAGGTGGCGTTACAGCGCCAGAGACTTGGCGAGCCAAGGCAGCGGCGCATACGACCGCTGCCGAGGTGAGGGAAAGGTAAGATGAGCGCATCGTGAGAGACAAGCGATAGGTGGTGTTCGCCGTGTGGTGGTGAGGGTGGTGCAAAACGTTGCGGAGAGGCGGAACAAGGGTCTTATCAGCGGTGACGAGGACCGCACCCTTACGAGTGGGGCCTACCGACGCAGCAAACAGAGTTGTGACTGATGAGGTGCCCGCGAAGCAGGAACCACACTTGACGCGCGAGGGGTGAACGCGCTGACGCGCTGCTGCATGCATTGGCTCCGCCCGCGCGATGTTGTTGAACACTGGTCAAATGGCCGGTGTCGCAGTGTACTGCCGCCCGTGACTCAGCCACCCTAGCTGCGCCAAGGTGCCTCCACTCTCTGCATGCAAATGCTGAGCAGAGGCGCAGGTTGAAATATCACGTGGCTTCTCAATCTCTCATGCTTTACAAGGCGTCCAGAATGACCACATCGATCATCATTCTTGATTGCAACTACCAGAAGGGGTGGGACGTGTCGATCGTGAATGCGGAGCCGAGGCAGCCGCGGAGAGCACTCAGGAGCGGCATCGACAAGCCGAGGTATGGGTGTCCGCGGGTGTACGGGTATCGCGCTGTGGATGGCTTGGCATTGCGAAGTGGCAATGGTAGCCGCTATCGCGGAAGGATCACGCTCAATGTGCTCAGACCATGCCGCCTCGGTGATGCCGCTGGCCGAAGAGCTTGAAGCAGCACCTCACTTGACATGCGGGGGCGAACGTTAGGCGGAGATAGCGGCATGTCTATAGCAAGGCAGCGAAAGATCGGCACGCTCAGCTCATGTCTCGAATCGCACTTTGCTTTACATGCAATTACTCACTTGAGCAGAATATCCCTCACAGCCTTTTCCTCTCCTCCATTCCAATCGCTGTCCAGATCTAGGCGGACCAAGTTCGCAACGACCGCACCCGCTCGATAGATCAATAGCGTGGGCGACAAATCGATGGCGTTGCCGATTCTTTCTGCAAAATCTTCTTCATCTTCGTCCTCCTCCTGAGTCGAGTCTGTCCTACCACTGCCGAATCCGATAGCCGAGGCGCATGCCTGCAAGAACTTTGTGTGCGGATGTAGCCGTGCGAGAGAAGCTAGAGATGCGGTGAGGATAGCGCAAGCAGGGACTCCCTAGAATGAAGAGATGCGTTGTCAAGGTCAGGCCATCCAGTCATTGCAAGTCACATCGAGGTGCTGCGTGCAACGGCTCAAGGATCGCAAATGACCAATTGATCACTCTTGCCACCACCTCCAATCAATGCACTCACCTTTTCATACAAATGCACCACGACGCTGGTCGTGGGGCCTTCTCGATCGATTGCGTCCGCATATCCATCCTGATCCACCTCTCTCAAATGTCCGAAAAAGCCTGTGCGTCTAGAAGCAGGTTTGCGTGGCAGTCCGCCAAGTCCCGATTGGGGCACAACCAGTGCGGGGCCTGTTGCGTCGCTTTGCAGCTCCGCCAGATTCTCTGCCAAAGCTTCCACATCCTCGTCTTCGCCCGCTAAGCGTCTCTTGCGTCTCTCATCAGCCACCTTTTGGGCTCTGCGAAGCTCGGCTATACGCGCTGCTCGTAGGTTCTCCAGCTCCTGCGCTTCCGCTTCCCTTGCGCCGCTCGTCGCAGTGGTCACCTTGCCCCCAATTGCCGCTTCTTGGCGTCTCAGCGCGTCCTCCTCGTGCGACGTCAGCTGGCTGTTCAAGGCGCCGCTTTCTATGCGCGCGCTCCTCTCCTGAACCGCGCCGTCCCGTACCTTTCTCGCCGCGCCTTCAGCAGCTCGCGCATCAGCTCTGACACCTTTGGGTCCCGTGTTTGCGCCGGGCCTGTCGATGGGTACCTCCGAATGGCTTTGTATGGCTCCATCGGCGTCTTTCCGTCTGCTCTGCCTCTGATCGTCGTCGAGATCGGATCCCAGCTCATCCGAAGTGCTGGGAGAGGGCGTGCGAGGAGGTGTCCGGCTGCCAGAGGCCAGAGCTGATTCGAGAGGCACGCCTTCCAAGATCTGTCGTTCGATTGCGTCGGTCATTATGAAGTCGTATGCTAGCTGGTGCTCGCAAGCGAAACCCGTTAAGCGAGACCCGTTTGATGTGTTGGACCTAGTCTCAGGTTCTGTGGTCAGGCAGCAGAAACGACGCAGCTACTGGAATGTCGAACGTGTTGGGGAAGCAGAGTCGACTAGCACGCGCCTGCTATGCTGGCCAAGGTGATTGGAGAACCTTTCGAGACTGGGCACTTTCTTAGGTGGAGGCGAGCGCGAAGGTGCGCTGGAGAGGGCGCTACGTTCAGATCCTTTTAAAGAGTGCGGCTATATGACTTGATGGGCTATGGTGGGGCATCCTACGATTGATGAAACGGCGGACTGCGATCAGCACTTGTCAACTCACGACTGCGCGAATCAAGCTTTGCATGCGGTGGGATGGGGGCAGCCGCGCAGGATACTCACGACTCACGACTCACGACTGTTGTTGGGCAAAGATCGAGCTACATATGACGCTGTGCGGCTAGGCGACGGGTTCTGTTGATGTACCGGTGCACGAACCCGCGGTGCGTGCATATCATCGATCCATGCACCTTCATGCACTTTGGGAGGCGCGCACCACACGACCTCGGTGTCTTTCGCACTCGTCCATGGAGCATTCGTGATTGGGTATGAAGGGCACGGATCGGGTCACTCTCGACTGTGACTCTTGACTTCTCGACTTGTATATAGGCACGCACATGCACATATCAGCTCCGACGGGCTGAGACCGTGCAGCGCGGTACCGCGGTACCTACACACCCCGCAGGTGCCTGAGCTGCGCTCCAATCGCACGCTAAACAGCCCAAGCACTGCATGCTGATGGGCGCAGCCCGCGCGGCGCCTCTTTGCTTTCAGCCGTTCAGAATTTGAGCTCGTTTCGCAGGCGCTGCATTCAGGCGCTACGCTCTTTGCAATAAGCTGCGCTCACACTCGTGACTGCATCAGCACGCCAACACACCCTCTTGGTCACGACACAGTCGGCCCTTGCAGCGGCCGGATCAACGTGGATTGCAATCACACAATCAGCATGCGAGAGGGGACTTCAAGCGGGCAGAGCTTGAAGCAAATGGCAATCATCTATGGTACAGACGCAGGAACGATGGACAAGCATGCATAGAAAGGCAAGTATCATGTGTTGCTGAGGAGGAGACAGTCAGTCTTATTGGACGCCGAGGTACGGCTCGGCTAAGCTGCGCCTCGACCGCCAGCAGTGAGAACTAGCTTCTTCTTCTTGGCCTTCGCTCTTCGGGTCGAGGGCGTTGGAAGGATTTCTGAGTCTTGACCTTGAGAGGAGTCCAAGGGCTGGCCTTGCCGGCCGACAGAGGTCGGCAAGCGTTCAGCGTTGTTGTCAGCCTGAACGAAAGGCCGCCCAGGTGTCTCCGCCGCGGGCGTTCGAGCACCAGAGGATCCGTTCCTTGGTGTGGCCGGAGACGCGTTGCCTCCCTTTGGCTGCCTGTTCAAACCTTTGCTGCCACGCATTTGAGGAGCGTTCCTGCCTCCTACAATGTAATCTTCCTCCAAATCTAGCCAATCCCAATCGATTCCGCTGTCGTCGTAATCGTGACCTTCCTGTGGTAATCTCGAAGAGGCATGTAGCGCTGCTGCAAACGGGCTTTGGGCGGCCCGAGTGCCCCAAACTGTCTTTGGGCCTGCAGTGTTTGATGCAGATCGCTCAAGTGGTCCAGCCGCAGCA